AATGAAATCAAATTAAAATTAGAAATAAAAAAAAGTGACAGTAGCATAATTATGATAAACTAAAAGTAAAAAAAATTAAGTTAGATCAAAGAAACATGAACCAAATTGAAAAATAAGTTAGACTTAATAAAAATAAATTTAAAATCCAATTTAAGAGAAATTAAAATAAAATTATAAGAATATAATTAAATTATTCTTTTAAAGAATAAAAAGGACAACAAAAAGAATTATCTTTTCTAACATGTAAAAGGATCCAAATTTGGTCATCAAGTTATTTATGATATGAAGATCTACCATCAGTTTTCATCGAGAAACCTCGAGGCTAAATTTATGGATATTTATTTGAAAGTCTTTTCCTTTCCTTACTTCATCGGTTTGCTTTTTAATAGATTTTTCAAATAAATATAAAGTTAAGATCAAAAGAATGAACAAACAGAAAAAAAATAAAAATACAAAAGAATTACCTTTAAATAAGAAAAATATTTTTATAATTTTATCTTTTTAGTTACAACAATTTGGAGCACCAATCATCAGAGTAGCGGTGGGTGTAGCACCTAGTAAATTTGTTTTCTCTAACAACTCAATTATATACTTCCTCTGAGACAACACCAAGGACACATTTTTTCTTGTAACTTCAATACCCAAAAAGTAGGATAGCTCTCCTAAATCTTTTCAAGAAAATTGCAGGTTCAATGTTCTCACCACTTCATCAATAACATGAGAGGAACCACCAGTAAGGATTATGTCATCAACATAGACAAGAATATAAGTAAAACAACCTCCATTATTCTTAACAAACAGTGAGACATCAGCTCGAGACTCACTGAATCCCATCCTGATCAAACTGGTTTTAAGTTTATCATGCCAGTTCCTTGGTGCCTGTCGAAGACCATATAATGCTTTGTTAAGTTTACATACAAGCAAACTTTCATCAGCAGCATATTCCTCAAACCCAGGTGGATGCTGCATAAAGACATCCTCGGTTAGATCACCATTCAAGAAAGCATTATTCACATCGATTTGTCGTAATGGCCAATTCCTCGCAACAGCAATTGATAACATTGTATTCAATGTGGCAAACTTAACAACAGGACTATAGGTCTCTTTAAAATCGCAACCAAGTACTTGCGAGTATCCCTTTGCCACAAGCCTAGCTTTGTGTCTTTCCACAGTTCCATCAGGTCTCCTTTTTATTCGAAATAACCATTTGTATCCAATCACCTCACGATCTGTAGGCATCTTCATAACCGACCAAGTATTGTTTCTTTGCAGTGCATCAAACTCGGCCTGAACAGCTTCTCTCCAGCTCGAATTATTGAGAGCCTCATAGACATTGTTTGGGACTTCACTCACAGCATTAAAGGTAAAAACCTTTGGTCTGAATATGCCACATTTACTCCTTGTCATCATCAGATGACTATTAACTTGTGCATCACTCAAATTTTCTGCACCTTCTTCTGTGGTATTCAACTCTTGAGTTTCATCATGTGTACTGACTACCTCAACCTGCTCAGTATTACTAGTATTTTGACCAGTGACTGAAAAATCACTCGACAGTTGTTGCTCAGCACTCGACACATTATCAACAGTCTCCACCCGATGACCTAAACTTGCAACAAGAAAACTACTTGAATCATCATTTGCATTATCTACTAAATTATGTTGAGACCCTGCGGTGCACCTTTCTCCTTGAAGTCTGCTAACATCAGTAACAATTTCGATTGAGCCAGATGGTTTGTTGGTGGTCGATGTGGCAGCAGGTAACTGAGCACATTTCTTTGCAAATGGAAACTTACTCTCATCAAACACCACATGTCTTGTGATATAGATTCGACCATCATCAGCAAGACACTGAAAACCCTTATGCCGAGTACTATAGCCTAAGAAGGTGCATGGTTTGGACCTAAAGTCCAACTTGTGCTTCAAGTATGGTCTCAAATGAGGAAAACAAAGGTAACCAAATACTCTTAGCTGTCCATAAGCAGGTTTTTGATGAAATAGCTTCTCGAACGGTGATGCACCATGCAAGACCCTTGTAGGCAGTCTGTTAATTAAATGGATTGTAGTAACAACTGCATAAGCCCAAAATTTGACAGGCATCGACGCTTGAGCAAGCAGCACAAGAGCTAGCTCTATAACATGACGATGCTTGCGTTCTACCACTCCATTCTACTCAGAAGTGTGTGGACATGTAAGCCTGTGTGCAATGCCTGCTTTCAACAAGCAGCTCGACAGCCTTCGATATTCACCTCCCCAATCGCTCTGAACATCCTTGATGGGAAAATCAAACTGCACATTTACCATCTGCTGGAACATTTCAAATGCACTAATTGCTTGAGCTTTGTCTTTGAGTAGGTAAAGCCATGAGTGTTTGCTACATGCATCAACAAAGGTGACATTGTACTTGTAACCAGTTGAAGCAACATGTGAAGGTCCCCAAAGGTCTGTGAAAACTAACTGAAAAGGAGCATCATATATTGTTGTAGAAGCATGAAATGGCAATTTATGGCTCTTTCCTATTTGGCATGCAACACACATTTTATTAACACTTGAAGGAAGAATTACATTTATTTCTTTACAAACTTTCAGTAAGCTGTCTTGCGAAGGATGTCCCAAACGCTGATGCCACAAGTCATACACAGCTGTAGACAGTTGTGTTGAGTAATTCTCTGCCTTGGAATTATCTTCAGGTGTTGAGCTAACTACAAAGGAGTATAAGCCACCATCTTCCTTCCCTCGAAGTAAAATTGAACTGGTTTTCTCATCACGTACACAACACTAATGCGCATGAAATTCAAGGAAAATGTTGTTATCCCTAGCAAGCTTTGACACCGATAGCAGATTCTTGGTTATTCTTGGCACATGCAACAAATCGGTTAACAACAGTACACGCGATGATGTAAATAGAGAAGAGCTACCAACAGTTTGTACATTTAAAACACCACCATCACCAACTATTAATTTACCTGGATTATTAAAGTCCATTGTCTGTGAGATGTTTGTGCCATCAAAGGTGACATGATGTGTGACACCCGAATCCACCACCCAGTGTTCACTAGCAACCTGTGACTTGAGCTGATGGGCACCAGATTTTTTACTGGTATTGCAATCATACGAATTATCCTTGGCAGCATAGTAAGCATTTCCTGACTCAGCCTTTGAATAATTGTTGCTGTTGGCTGTAACACCAGGGAAGTCTTCATCAAATCGATGCCAACACCGGTCGACTAAATGGCCATTTTTGCCACATAATTGGCATTGCAACCGAGATCGACCCCGACCTCGACCTGTCGATCGACCACGTGAGTACATTTGACTAGACACAGTGTTACGATCAGACGGATCCACAGTCTTACTTGACACTTGCCCTTGAACCATATGTGCACTCATAGGAAGTGACTCAAGTGGATCACAAAATCCTGCTAATTGAGTTTCCACATCCATCAACATAGTGTAAATAGTGTCAAGAGACACCGACTCACGCAGGGTTGTTATGACAGCCACAAAAGGTTGGTACTCAAGTGGTAACCCCTTTAAAATGCTCGCAACATGCACTGCCTGTGACACAACACTGCCGCACGATGCTAATGCATCACACACCTCTTTAATGCGAGTAAAATAAACTCGCATGGACTCGTCTCCTTTCTTAAGAGACTGAAGCTTGTAATGCAAGCTGATAACCGCCGTTGTGGATCTGTTCGAGAAAAATTGAAGCACTGTCCTCCACACAGCAGAGGCTGTTTCAGCACCCACAAACTGAGGTAACAACTGTGGACTGATTGTTGACAGAAGCCAGGACGCTAGAGCACTGTCCTGAGCCACATATTCTTCATATAACTCGTTCAATACTTCCTCACCAGAATCACTAACCACCGTTTGTGACGGAGCAATCATGGAGCCAGTGAGAAGCCGTTCAAGTCTATGGCTGCGAACAGTGAGAAGCACCTGTTGCTTCCACAATATAAAATTTGATTGATCCAATACGACATTGACTATTTTATTCGATAAAGCCTTAGCATTCCTCGAGACCCCCTCCATTGAAGAAGCAAGCTGATCAACGCTCATTGTGAGGACTCTTGTCAAGCAGCGGAAACAGAAGCAAGTCGTCCGGATTGTCCAGCGAAAGATACCATGTTGAGATTCAAGAATATTGAAGTAATACAAAAAACGTATCTCTTTCTTTCATTTATCAGCTAGATCTATATATATATACATTTATTCAGCTGAGCTGGCTTAACAGCGTTAACCAACTCTTAACAACTTGCTAACAGAACCTAACCAACTACCAACTCACAAAACCATATCAGCTCAACAGCACACGCCTATATTCACACACAATCACACTCATGCATTACTAATATTCCAATACATGTTAAGAAAAAATGTAAAATATATTTTCCTTGATTGAGTGTAAAATGAAGTTAAATGATACCTTTTTTTCCGTTTATCTTTCGAGAATCTTTTCCTTTGAGTTGAAATTTAATTGAAGAGAGAAAATGGAATAGAGATTTAGGGTCTTGAAAGAGATATTATTTTAAGGTGGGAGATTTCTTTTTCGAATGAATGAGACGTGGGATTATTTTTAGTTTATATTATTTTCATTAAAATTTAATTATTTTTTAAATTTAAATAAATATTTTGGTTGAAATATTAAATATGATGTGTCAACGTATAATTGGTTAAAAGATATTCTTTTCGAACGGGAATAACAAAAGATTTTAAAATAGTGAAGAAAATAATTTAGGTACCTGATTTGATAAATAAAAAAAATTAGTTTAGGTACTCAAGAAAAATAACATAGTTTGAGGGCTGATTTTTCATGTAAGCCCTACTGAAATCAATACACGGAGTTTTACAGTACAAACCACTGTTTGGTTGCATAAAAGTGTAACGAATCAATAATTGACGCGTCATTAAAAATGGTAGAACCGACATTTAATTTCTTAAAGGAAAAGTATTTGCTGTCTTATTTGACCGTAAAAGACTCAAAAGGCCCAAACTTTTCTTTCATCTCCTTGGCTTAGCAAATCTCATAGGAGCTCCGCTTTCTCGATCCGATCACTGGAGCGGTCATTAACGTTACCGTCGAAGCGGTCTGCATTCGTGAGGTAAGCTTTTGGTTCCCTTTCTCCTCAAGATTTTGTTTTACTGTTTTTTTTGTCAATTTGTTCAATAAATCTGAAGTTATTTCTTTTATTTTTCTTGCGTTTATTTTTCTTTTATTTTCATTTAATTAAAATAACTAAGCTCCTTATCCCTGGATGTATCTGAAATATCGTTCCCTTGAAAATTTATTTTCTTTCGTTGTTTGTTTATAGAATCGCAAAGCAAATAATGTCAATAAGGTTTGGATACCGAAATATCGGGTTTTCCTCACATCTTTATTATAATCATGTGTGATTCATGGCCGTTGTATTGAGCAAAAAGAAGTTACATCTGATAGAAATTGAATTATAAGTTCAGATGATTTGAGCAACGTATTTTTACTAATTTGATTGTTGTTATTTATTTTTGTATAAATTTGTAGTCTTCTATTCTATTGTTTTATTTTTAGCTGATCATTGCCGGTGCCTGTAATTATTCTTCCAAGAATTTATATACATTTTTTATAGGCGTTAGAGATATGAACTGGGTTCAGCGTAAGATCTATCTCTACAATGTCACCTTTGGACTCTACATGCTGGATTGGTGGGAACGTTACCTTTTCAGTATCCTTTTTTCACTTCATTTTTATCTGAAGATACCTAGTATGTATAAGTTCTGTTTTAGAATTCTTGGGATTTGAACACTGTAAGGGCCGCTAGTATTTTGTCATGATAACTTCATCATCATTCCTCTTTTACATAAGAAAGGGAAGCCTCTCATATAGTCATATCACATATGACAAAATTATGCTGATATTGCTATATAAGGAGCTGTTTCTAGTATTCTGCTATGTCATCATTTTAGTATTTGGTCTGTTGGCATAATTTTACAGTTTGATTTTGGAATTTTGAGAAAATTGGTTTTCTTATCTTTGAATTAGAATAGTCAAAGGGTCCTATTCTTTGTTCACCGCAATAGTTTTTAAGTCCATGTACCATTGTAATGTCTCAAATGTTAGTTCCTAAACTTTGGAAGACACGTTGGTGATTGTGTTGATGTGGTTTCTCTTCTACAACAGCTCACGATACGTAACTGAGTTCTGCAAAAGGTAGATCCTTTCCTTGTCCTCTGGTTCCATTTCATTGAATAATTGTCAAGGGATAAACTTTGTTATCTATAACTTGGTTCACCATCCTAATTTTTTTATATTTAACACTTAAGTATTGACCTTCTTGTGCCTTTGGTTGTCAACTTGTCGCAAAAAATGATTCAAATTCTTTCTAGGTTTTGGAATTTGGTTGTTGATTTAATGTTCCTGATGAATGTAAGGCTAAACTTTACTTCGAAAGAGATAGAAATAGGGGATCTGAAGTAGTGATTTTATGAACTTGTTAGATTATTGAGGCTGATAGACTGTCAAGATTACAAAATCAAGATTCTAGGTGAATTAGAGTCAGATATTGCTAAATGTTCTGCTCTTCACTCTTTCCTCTCTAGAACTTTCATATGTTTCTTATATCGAAATGGGAAACTAATATCCGTACTTGCTGTTTGTCTTATATTGTGAATATTGCAAATAATCTTTTGAAACATTGAGGTTGCATACTGCAGCTTGTGATCTTTATTCATATAATATAGATTAAATTTGAATTACTGGAAGTAACAGATAGGTATAGTTTCAGGTATAAAAAGACTGGAAGTAACAAGTGATGGTCATGAAATGAAAAACATATGAATTCTCTTTATTGGATCTTCTTTTCTTAACCTTGTTCTCCTTTTTCTTCTTCCCATTCACATTTCTGCGTGATTTGGTATTGGTGATTTTGGCCCTTATCAGACTTGTTTCTTTTCTCAAAATTTCAAGCATCTATCCTAGGGTTGTGAGGTGGTGTTGGCTTGACAGATTGCAATGATGATGGTAGTGTGAAATACTTATAAATTATTTGGATGGAAATCTTGCTTATATGTGGAATTACATACAACCTTTTTGGAATGTAGTAAACCGGTGCATGTTCCTTGTGTATTGTTAGACCATTTTCAAAGCTATTAGCTGCAAAAATTTTAGAACATTGGCGCTGTTGTAACTATTGTTGAAACTGTTAAAAATCACTCTTTTTCCCCCCTCGAATAAGGTACCAATAGTTTAATGTTGTTCTCCTTCTATGAGCGGTTTCACCAGCAGTTTTAATTTTTCCTTTTGAGAATCTAACAGATGAAATGTATATATCTTTGCATGTTATTTTGGATTTTTCATTTTGCTTCTGATACCTATTTTATTTTGAGCTATATTCAAATATGGTTATGCTCTAAGAGTGTGTATAATCCAATTTTCAAGTATTTAAAAAGGTTTTTAAAGATTAAACATATTCTTATGGAGCATATATTTCAAAATTTGAGTACATATACCGTTCGATTACAAGAATGAGTTCGATTTAAAATAAAGCAATTTTAATTTGTAATGGTAACATTATATATATATATATATATATATAATTCAAGTATACTACAACTAGAAAGAGTAATGTTAATACCCATAATTCGTCCAACACAAAGCAATGAAAGGCAAGTAAGTTAATTCCTTGGTATGATGTTAAAAAGTACTCTTTAACGTTCAAGTGATTTCACTTTGATACTTATTTCATTCAAGTATTTTAACTTTCAACATTTCATTTTACGTCAATATATATATATATAACAATGGAGCTTCGGATTTTATCAATTTGCTCGAGAGTTTAAGACAATGAACTTTTGGAGAGTCCCTATCTATTTTGAGATTTCACGACAGTAAATTGACAATGAGATCCAAGACTCAAGTTGGACAACAATGCCACGCACGATGAAATTTCGTCAGCGATGCCTTTCTAATCAAGGATGATTAGTGTTAGGAGCTTGTTGAGTTGCCAAATGGAAGGGTTGATTGAATTTGTCTTGTAATCGGAAATCAAGTGGTAGTATTTTTGGAGAATGAGATCATATGACTCGCATGGAGAGAAGTTGGTGCCTTTAATATGAATCAAAGATGCCTAAGTAAGCTTCTTGTAGCAAGAAACATAAAGCCAACAATGCTTTTTGGTTGGACGGTGGAGACACATTAACGACACCAAAAATGGCTAACAACAAAAATAAAAATATGGTGGTGGTGCAGTAGAAGATCACATTATTTTCTTTTTAATTAATGATGTCCTAGTTTTATTTTTTGAAATAGGTACGTAGATTACATTAGTTATAAAGGACATCATTTATAATAATATCGGATATACATTTAAGACAATCATAAGTAAAATATAATAGTGAATGACTAGTGACAGTCTGATGAGTAAAAGCGTAAGTAATTGAGGCAACGACAAATAAGATGGATCACTATGACGTCCTCGAGCATCAGACATAGAGTATTAGACATTATAATCAATGTTAATTTTTTTCATCAAAATTTGTCTAAATAATCATTTGTATCGGTTTTTTAAAATATTTTAGCGCTCAATGTTTAATTTTTTTTATTAAAATAGATCTTCTAAGATTAAAACTATTAGTTAACTAACTATCAATGTTTGTTATTAACACGACATTGTTATATGTATTTAAGGGGATGATTGGAATAACGAAAAGATTACTATCAGAAGAATAATCTTTTCCGAAACCACATACTCATGTTTGATTCAAAAACATTCCCATCAAGGGTAATGAAACATTACGTTCAAGAGCTATTTTGACTTGAATTCTTGGGAATCCCATTCCCTCCAATATATCAGGTATTTGTCAATTCTCAGCAAGTTGGAAAAATTACCCCTAAACTAAATGAATTATTTCAGAACTATCATTTCCTTTATTCCTTAGTTTTGTAATTTGTTTTCCCCTTTCGTCGTTGATTTAGGTTAGATATTATATGATTTTGGATGTTATAAAGTAAAAATATTATTATTTTGATATACATGTTTTTTTTATTGTAGTATTAATTTTTTTTAATCCTTATTATAAATAATATGATACATATAATAAAAGGTTTTCTATATTATATTTTTATATTTTCTATTAATTTTATCAAATAATTCAATATGATATTTTATTGTATAACTCATACATGTAGTACGAATAAAATAAAAAAAAATTGCAATTAACACATGCTTATACTTGTGTAAGTATGTACGTCTCTCAATATCTTGGTACCTAAAAATAAACACATAATTATATTGGTGTAACTATGTTTTTGTATTTTCAAATAAAGAAAAAATTATATATTAAATTATTTTTTATACAAAATTTATTAAAAATATATATAAATTAAAAACAATAAAAAGAATTATATTTTCTATAAACTTTTATGTAAATATTTTAACTTTAATATTTAGAATTTAACTTATATATATATATATATCAAGGATAATTTGGTAAAACATATATTTTTTATATATATATATATATATATATATATATATAAAGTAATGTGCTAAGTAGTGTAACATTATAGTAATCTAATTGCCAATTGTAATATTAAATTATAAGAATCAAACGACCCCTAAGTATTAATTTTAATATTACCACAATGTTTGAGTACTGGCGTGTCGTTGTCTATGAATGTGAAAATCCGACCCGACTTGTAAAACTAACTAAAACTGACTTGAGTTAAAACTCTTTGTGAACTAAGGTGATAATGACACGAAATAGATTCGAGTCTAGATTGTTGTTGACCTGAATCCGAATTGAACTTGAAAATTCTAGATCTATACTCAACCTGAGAATGACATGAACTCGTATTGAACCAATAATATGATAATCGAGCCATGTATGCATTTGAGCTGATTTAAATTCGAAACTCGAAATTAACCTGGTAAATACAAATATTACCCGACATGTTATCAACCTGACCTGTTATGAACCTAACTTGTAATTGACTCAACCTGTAAATGATTCGACTTATTATTGAACTAATATGATATTTACCAAACTTGATAATTACTTGACTTGTAAGTTACAATTGATGAAGATATAAGATTTTGAATTTATAATATTATAGTATGACAAAACACATCTTCACAATTAAAAGTACATAATAAACTATGATTAATAAATTTAATGTGTTTATTTTTAATATTTATAAATTGTGATATAAATATACTCAAAAGTTCTATTAGACTAATAACTTATGTTTGATAAAGTTAATAAAAATAATTTTATACAATTTTTATTAATTATAATCATTAGATTAATAAATTTAATTATAATTGTTAGATTAATAAATTTTATTTTCTATATTAATTATGACCATTAGATTAATAAATTTATTTTCTATATTAATTATATTCATTAGGGTAAAAATGTATTTATTCACAATAAATTAATTTTATTAAATAATTTATTTATTATTTATTATATTATATAAAATGATTTTAAATATCATAGGAACTCTTATTGTTGGATATTATTTTCTTGAATTTGGTCATAGTGTAGTGATTTAGTAAGATTCACAGATTATTAACAAAAGTTCAAGTTGCATAACTTCTATTCACATGCAATGTTATTTCATGTAAAACATCAACTAAACTCAAATAAAAATTATTAACACAAGAAAAACAATTTTTTTTTCTCTCACAAATGCAAACACTTGGAGTATCACAACGTTTGCAAATCATTGTCATTCTTACTATTCTTCTTTCTTCATTTTATTGATCTTCAACTTCACATCATGATTCTCTATGGTCAACTCTATTGTGGCAGCTACTTGTTCTTGAAGTGTTTTCAATTTATTATTTTGAGACACAAGCATCGCTTCGCTCTCATGCCCCCCTTTTGCCATGCATTGTTATTCATCTCCAGCTTCTTTAACAAGTTTTGAAGCTCTATTGTTTTGTTTGCTATCTTTTGTACCTCTTAGTCTCTTCGATTAACTAAAATAGATGCATTTGACTCCATTTGTTTTAGCAATACTGTAATTTGCCGTTTGTTGTGTTCTTACAGTAACAATATCAACATCCTGAAAAAATGAAAATGAGAAAATATAAATAAAAATGAAAAAAGAAAACACGATTTTTAAATCTCTACTATTTTTTCATTTGTAAGGAAGGTGGTTCGATATAGTGGAGGTGGTGAGGTATTTGGAAAAATTGAAATTAGAAAG